GGCGCGCAGACATTTTTAGGTCTGCAGTCTTCAAAAAAACAAACAGTCTGTGAAGGCTAATGTCTGCGCGGCGCAGACATAAGAGGACACGCAGATCTGCAGACAAAAAACAAACACTACCTAAGTATAGTACTATCTAAGTAATTTACCAATTTAAGGACCAAACCCGCCAAGATATAAAGTTATGGGGCAAATTGTAAATTTACTCAAAACACTGCTATGTATACAGAAAGAGGTCAACAACCCTTCTTATTCAACCCCCTTCTCTCGATTTCCACTTCAATACCAAACAAAACTCTGACAGAGATTTCTTGATCGACGATGACTCATATCCTTTCAAAGGGTTTTGATTGTGATTGTTCGTTTGTTATGTTTTGTTTTTTTAATCGGTTTCCTATTCGATCTGATTCAATCTAACGAGAATTCTAGGTATTTGTTTATGGATTTTAATCTTCAATTGATTTCGTGTCTATAAGCATGTGAATCTTGTATGCTTTCCTTAATGGGGGATCTAACGCGGCAACCAGAGGGAGAAAGATCGTGAAAGAGCCAATGCTCGTAATGGCGGTAAAGGGAAGACCAAAGACGACGGATTGACCCCTGAACAACGCCGTGAAAGGTTTGAATTCTTGCCCTAGTTTTTTTAGCGATTTCGATTTGGTTGTTAATTCTTGTTAAGTATTGCGACGATTTAGTTAATCATTGAGTTTTATAGTTCAATTTAGCTTTTAATACAATAAATTTGGGATCCCTCTTCATGAGTCAACAATTAATTGTCTGGAATCGATCTATCGTTTGTCATGAACAATTAGACTATAACCTAAAAAAATCAACTTTTTCTTTTATGTTCGAATATATAAAAAAAAAATTAATCTGCAATAGTTCAAGACTATCTTTCTGTTTTTTCTTTATAATTCCATTGATCTTTTCATCTCAGATATCTTATCAGTTTGATATGTGTTTCGACTGTTTGAAACCACGATTAAAGCCTCTAATATGCTCCTCCTTAAAGTCTCAATCAGATATTAACTCAACCTGCAACTATCAATTCAATCTATTTTACTTTGTATTTTAGTAATTTTATTTATTAATTTTTCAAAAAATTGTAATTAAACTTGTGAATATACAGGGATGCAAAAGCACTCCAAGAAAAGGCTGCAAAGAAGGCATCACAGGCTGCAGGGAGTGGTGGTGATGCAGGAGGTAAAAACACCAAGAAATAACAGAGAGAGTATCATTTCATTTTTCTTTTCTTTACTGAGTGATTGTATTATCTATATTTAACATTTTATATTACTTGACATTATGGAAAAGTTTATTCTGCAGATTTATTATCATCTGAAATAAATATTCTTCTTTTGTCACATGTATTTTGTCTGCTTTATAATTTGGCCCCTTTCTTGTGTTTTGCTTTCCATGCTTTTGTATGCTTTTGTGTTGCTTCTTTCACATGTTTCTGTTTTTGTCGTGCTAACTTATTTTTTGACATGCTAGATTATAAACTACAAGTTAGTTTTTAATATATGTTTGTGTAAAGCTAGTTTTTATCTATATAAGGAAGCTATTGGTAAACAAAGAATTATTTTCATTCTTATTAACCTACAAAGTGAAGGATAAAGTTGCAAATGTAGTTAGACAAACTCATTTGTGTTAAAATTTAATTGAAGTATCAAAATAAGCAAGTCAAAAAAGTTTGGTTGTTCGGTTTAGTTATCAATAATACCATCTAGGGTAAGTTTTAATAACAAAACATCAAATGTAATTCATAGAATATAAGCCAATGTCTTATAATTATTCACAATAAGTTTTATTATTATGAAAACAATATTTAGTGGTATTGTTGCTAATAAGGCCATGCGGTGCATTGCGGGAAGCAAAAGCGGGAACGGATCCTGCACCTCGAAACACAACACCGGGCAATGTTTTAAAAACCGGTTTGAACCGGCCGATCGAATCGGTTGGACCGGGAACCGAGGAAGAGAGCAGTTCAACTATCACCGGTTTTACACCAATTTCTGAACCGGCCGGTTTTTAGAAAAAACCGGTTGTACCGGTTAAACCGAATAAAAACCATGAAAAATAACCATTTATATAATAAATTTTGGTGATTTTTTTTCAAATCTACTTTGTTTTCTCTAAATAAAAATATATGGTAAATGTTATAAAGTTTTTTTTATGTGTTTGTAATCATCTAAAACTATATTTCGTTTCGGTATTATACTTTATTTTTTTTTCACATATATGGATTAATGTAAAACATTAAAACTTATGGTTATGTGTTATTTTAATATATTTGGATTCATCTCCAACTTAATTTGATGTGTATTTTTAATGTTTGAATTTGTAAACATCAAATTCATGATTTATATATGTATGTATGTGTAAGAAAATAGAAAAAAACAAGAAAAATATAGAAAACCGGTTCACCCGACGGTCGAACCGGTTAAACCGAGAAGCGGTCATCATACCAGTTCAACTAAAAAACCGGTTTTTAAAAACATTGACACCGAGGGTGCGAGAATGGGTGTGTGGGACAGGAGGGCTTCCAGCGTTCTCTCTCCTGCTGTGATTCGTCCATGCTGTTTTCTTTTTTTCTTTCTTTTTTTGGTTGTAGCCGTTAAAAAAGGTAGACATGTAATTTTTTTTTTCACTTTTCTATATATATATATATATATATATATATATATATATATATATATATATATATATATATATAT